GCTGGTCCCCGTGGGGAATTAGACCACCACCCATCAACCTACAAAAAACCACACAACATACACTAGAAAACAACAAGAAGAACAACAACATTAGCAACAAAAAAATGTAATCCCCCCATTAAAGAAAGTATCCAAATTGCAGCATTTAATGTTCTAACCCCAAAGTCGGACGAGAGTCTAACAGAACTAAATAATGCACTAAATTATATCAAATGGGACATTCTGGGTCTGAGTGAAGTAAGAGCTGGAGAAAACATACAAGAATATGAGGACTTCCTTCTATATCACATAGGCGAAAAAGAAGGCCAAAATGGGGTACGATTTATTCTCAAAAAGCACATGATACAATATGTTGATGAGTTCATAGGAATTTCGGACCGTTTAGCAGCGCTAAATATAAAATTACCCAATTACGAAGACATGTGGTCTATTGTGCAAGTTTACTCTCCAACTGAACAAGCAGACAAAAAGACAATCGGAGAATTCTATGAGAATCTAAACAGTACCATAGAGAGACATACGCACAAAAACTTAATAGTGATGGGAGATTTCAACGGCCACACAGGTGAAAGCGTGCCAGAAGAAAGACGTGTTCTTGGACCTTTTACATATGGAGCTCGACGAAGTGAAAATGGAGAAAGACTCCTTAATATGTCTTTCGAAAACAACCTCTATGTTCTAAAAACCAAATTTAAAAAAAAGGTTCAAGGAAATGGACATGGGTATCACCAGGAGGCAAATACAAAAATGAAATTGACTTTGTTCTCACCAACAAACCAATGTATTTCACCGATTTAAATGTTGTGAACAAATTTAATTTCAACACGAATCATAGAATGGTCAGGGCAGATCTCACACTACGACATACAAAGACACAAAAACCCAGGAGGAACTTCGATGGTAAGTTGAGTATCCAAAACCTAAAAGATGCTGCAAACAAACTGATCGAAAGATGTGCAGACTTTGAGAAAGAAACCAAGAACCTAGATATTCAAAAGAAATAAGACTGGTTTGAGACTTCAATCAAACTAGCAAAAAGTACCTGCACTAATAAAGAAAAGAAGAAAAGCTATTTATCAATAAAATCAAAAAATCTACTCGAAGCAAGGAAACAAGTAATCAGTTCCAGAGACGTAGAGAATCGTAGAAAACGCATATCAGAGCTGAGTAAAGATATAAAACAGAGCATGAGAAGGGATAGGAAGCAAAACAGAAGAAAAAAAAAATTGAAGAGCAAATCATTAGAACAGGAGGAACAAAAGAGGCATATAAATAACTGTTAGTTCAAAGGATTGGGTTACAAAAGTTAGATATGAGAAAGGAATAGAACAAAACAGAAGATCAGGCTTAAAAGATATTGCTACATCATACTATAAACAATTATATGAGAACACACAAGAAGAACCTGGCGAATCAATAGTACTATGCGATAATGAGGATGAGAGCATACCCTATATACTGCCAACGAGAGGTAGAAGTAGCATTACAGTCCCAAAGTAAAAACAAAGTCCCAGGGCCAAATGGCATTGAAAATGAAATCCTATTAATGGCAAAAAATGTCCTGTTACCAGTTATCATGAAAATATTTAATGAAATTTTAGTAACCGAAACTATCCCGATACAATGGACGCAATCTAATATAGTATTGTTATATAAAAAGGGTGATAAACTTAATATAGGTAATTATCACCCGATTAGCCTTATGTCCAACTTATACAAAGTATTTGCGAAAATACTGCTAAGAAAACTGGAAAGAAAATTAGACGACAACTAACCAGAGGAGCAAGCAGGTTTTCGTAGAGGGTACTCAGTAATGGACCATACCAAGTCATGAGGCAGATTACAGAAAAATCCCATGAATACAACCAATTATATTACATGGCATATATAGACTACAGCAAGGCTTTCGACTCTTTATTTCACATTAAGATATGGCAGGTCCTAAAAGAACAAGGTATTGAAAGCAAGTACATAAGGATACTGAGGAAGATATACAAGGAAAGTACAGCATGCATACAGTTAGAAAAGAAAGGAGAACCATTTAACATACAAAAAGGTGTGCGACAGGGCGACCCGCTATCCCCAAAACTTTTTTCTGCGGCCCTTGAAATGATATTTAGAAGACTAAATTGGGACGGATATTGAATTAACATCGATGGAACTTGGTTAACACATTTAAGATTTGCAGACGACATAGTTCTCTTTGCAAAAACCCCACATCAACTGAATGTCATAGCAAGTGATCTGGCATTAGATAGTCGCACGGTGGGACTGAAAATGAACATGGAGAAAACGAAAGTAATTACCAACGGACCTAAGAATGAAACATCAGGGTTGGGCAAAGTGAGATGGAATATGTGGATGAATAATCTATCTGGGCCAAATTATTTCACCCACAGACAACATGGAAAAAGAAATCAATAGGAGAGTAGCAAACGGACGGAAAAGATATTGGAGCATGTAGGAAATAGTGAAAGATAAAGAACTGCACATATCTATTAAATCTAAAGTATTCAACACATGAATTCTCCCTCCCAATGTACGGATGTCAAACATGGGTTCCCACTAAATTGAACAGTAAGAAATTAAACATATGCCAGCATTCGATGGAGCGAAGCATGATGGGAATTAGTCAAGTTAGAAGACATTAGGAAAAACACAAATGTTCCGGACGTATCAACAAAAGTCAGGAAACTAAAATGGAAATGGGCTGGGCATATGAGTAGAGGGAAGGAGAAGTGGAGCAGGAGGGTCACAAAATGGTACCCCAGGAATGGCATAAGAAAGAGGGGAAGCCCCGCCAAAGATGGGAGGACGACCTGGTCAAATTTGCGGGTCTGACCTGGAGCCGGGTTGCCAAGGATAAAAACGAGTGGAAAAGGTTGGAGGAAGCCTTTGCCGATTGGCAATCAGCAGGAGGCAGCCTAGATTTTATATAACTTAGATATTAAGAAATTGTATTACGTACTGTTGAATAAATGGCTTTATTATTTATATTTTTATTATTATTAAGTTCTGACTTCTAGGTTGAAAGCTTCACATCTCGACTCTACATTGATCTGAAATACTTGTTTTAAATCTTCTCTGGTTGATCCCACACCAATGACCATACCCCTAATTGGATATCTCCTAGCCTTGACTAGTTGTGCAGCATATTCACTTATGAAGTGGGAGCCTTGGTCAAATAATGCTGGCAGCATGGTCTTGTAATTGTCTTCACTTCTTACCCTTACAATTGCTGTTGAAAGTAATGCTGTATTATCTTTGTTAGAACTGTGTGCAACCACTGTAACTGTTTCTTTCTCTTCTTCATACTTCTCAATGTTTGTATGTAAACCCACTTCAAGTTGTTTTGTATGTACCTTATCGGAATTGCCTGTTGTGTTACTTTCACTTACGTTGCTTTCCTTGTTTTCGTGACGAAGGGAATGATGGCGCCTTCTGCATAACCGACACTATGTTGGAGTACGACATTGCCTTACAGAGTGTCCAGGTGAAAGGTACTTGAAGCACAAGTTATTAGTTTTAATAAATTCACTTCATTGAAGTGGTGTGTTTTATAAACTCCTTACAATGGTTAAGTGTATGCTTTTCATAGCACATTTGACATTTTTTGCAGGCTGCAACGTTGGTTGTAATGTGATATGACTTCTCTCACTGGATGACATTATTCAATTTTTGTTTCGTCGGTTCTGTAAGCTCCAACATTCAAAACCGGGTTTCTAAAAATTTATGAAAAATATCGAGTGACGGAAGACTATCATTATCTTGGCAATAGTTGCTAACATGTTCTTCCCAGTCTTTATGCTTCTCAGAGTCTAGTTTCTGCACTGTCACAAATATTATGATAGGATCCCAGTTTTCAATATTTACCTTCATGTTTTTAAACTGTTGCAAACATTCAAACATTGTATCTAGAAAACTCTTTTTTTTTTATAGGATTGGGTAACAAACGAGTATGCAGTCCACCTGATGGTAAGTGGTTGCTGTAACCCATAGACATCTACATTTATCCTCAATGAAGAATCAAAATGCAGATGCATCGTCACCCGTGAGGAGTAAGATGGAATGCCTCTTTTCCAGTAAAATGGGTCTCCGGTTCTCTACACTCACCATACGAAACACAGCAGTGTCAAGCTGCCATTTTACGCTGGTATTCTGTGAGAGCGTGGTCCTTCCCCTGTCGAGCCGACCCATTCATGCTACAACTATACTATACTACTAATATAGTTGCAGCATGCCTCTACCACGTATAAAAACTCTTGATATGACTTGAAGAATTAACAGTAAGCTTCTTTTGGAAAAAAGTTTTTAATGACAGTGTTGATAGTTATTTGTTTATTACCATACCATCTTTTTAATATGTCCCATGCTTGTTCATAGCTCCAATCTGTAACTTGTACATGCTTTAATATAGATGCAGCTTCCACAGTAAGGTTTGTTTTCAAATAATGCAATTTTGTACTTATGTACTTATTTAAGCATCTCGTTAGTATGAACAAGTGTATTAAACAAGTCATGAAACGATAACCACTCATCATAATGCCCACTGTAGGTTAGTAACTGTATTTTTGGTAACACTACACGAGTTTGTTGGGAGTCACTTGATATTGGTAACGGAGCACTGTCACTAAACTAAAATTTTATATATATTGATAGAGTGGTGACCTGGTAAGGGATGCAGGGAGATGATAGTTTAAGGTAGTTAGGAGGTAGTTTAAGGCCGTGCCTTGTAGCATTCCTTTGGGGAGGCCTATATTCAGCAGTGGACTCGTGAAGGGCTGTAATGATGATTATGGTGAATTTTATTTCTTCAGTGTTTATTTTCTAAAAGGTCATTATACAAACTTTCTTAAGTAAATATACGTTCTCTACGTTTGTTAATTTATTTTTACCACAAAACTATAAGTCTTTCTTTTGATGGAAATAAATATTGTGGGCAACGTCATCTAAAAGTTGCTTGTATTTAATGTTATTATAATAGAGGAGACGTTATTTACCTCTTCTTTCTCGATTTCATTTAAAGCCTTTTGTAAACCGTCCTCAGTAGAAACATCGTATTTTTCTAATAAAAGTGTTAACGACATTATTTATTTTGATGATTCTACAATATCAATGAAAAAAACAATCAAAATTCAGAATCAGATGATATCTGTCAATATCGATCATTCAGCTAATTTGACAGAAACCGGCGGCAGCGTTCAATGACCTTTAAGCGCAAATTTCTGAACGTTTATCAGATTTTTTAACCATTTAAGACTTAAGACTAGTATTACTCTAAATAAGCAAACATTTAAATTAAACATGCAGTTGTAAGCTTATAAGAGGACACTGTATTACAACATTCTCTTTCATAATAATTATTGCAAAATGTACCTATTAGGCAACACGACATATTGATCACTAGCAAGTACTCTGTGCAGTGTGCACTAGCATTTTAAATTTTATCTGTGCAGGGCTCAAAAAATACGTTCTGATACTGATTCCTCAAGACAATAATCTGAAAAGTTTCAATAGTATTTCCTTTGACCTATTTAAAACAATGTCATATTAAAAGTATGATATACAGACAAATATAGATATTTTTAAACATCAATCGTAAACTTGCTTCAAAATACTTCCACCTAAATCCTCCTTGTTTTAATATTTTTACAAAAAGCATATTACTATGTCAATATTCTGAACGCACGTATTGAAGTAAAGTATTGTGAGCACAGAAATTGTGAGAATGTGATATGTCCAACCCGTGTAACAGTAAACATAAAATTTTTAGTGATTAAAAAACTGATGTGTCTTTTATAGTTGTGTGTTAGAACCTCAGGGCGTCTAATTATAATTTAGCGCTCCTTAGAGGAATTTTTCCCTGTGCCGTATACATTAATCCTTAAAGGTAAGACAGGGCAAGGAGCAGTGACATTAGCATAAATTATCGGGAGTAACAAACATTGGCTTTTACCTCGAAATGTGTGACCTCCTACGTATCATTTCGACATTACTTTTACATTGTAGTCGTAATAGTGCTAGTTCTTATTGTTACGTTAGATGATTTTCGACATGTGAAGTTTTATCAATTTATTTTGTTGATCGTGGGTCTGCTTGGTCGTAGATTGACTCCGTGTGGGGTTGGGCTTCGCCCCCGCTGCGGTTGCAGCTGGGTAACGCGCGTGGACACAAAAGGTAATACTAAAATTGCTCTAGTAAATTACCACTTTACTTTGTACTTTTGCTACCACTAACCTGTGATGTGTAATTATTTAAAGAACGTCTGTCACTTTCATGAGAGGAACGTTTGTAACTCTTTTATCTTCCTTTAAAAGGAAGAAAGTGATGTATATTTTTAAAGAAATTTCTAGTTTAAGAGAGTAAGAAACTTCATTGTCATAGAATAAGAGTGATTATACGAGCTATGTGCTCTATGCCTGACAGTAATTGGACACAATGGCTAATACACATCTACATCTATCCTTAATTATAATATAGAATCAAAATGCCAATGAGTTTTCACTCCTGAGGACTAAGACACTAACCACACAGAACACTTCAGCATTATGTTGCTATTTTATGTTTGTTTTCTGTGAGAGTATGGTCCTTTGATCGAGCTGACCAATTTGTGCTATATCCATAAAATAACCACAGTATGGTTCTGTCATGTATATACCTCTATAAGGATTTGTTAGTTTATGTATAATATAGAGCCAAACTTAACCAATTTTCATTGTATTTTATCCATTGTCACTACTGTAAGTAAATAAAAAATAGCAATTGATCAATTTAAAAAAAAATAAGATAAACAATCATTTATCTTTCTGACAATGTGCTTTTTATATCATTTATATGTTCAATATGATTATTAGATACAATTTTATGCGACAAAACGTTGGAATCTTGATTTTTAGGCACTAGTAGAACATTCCTACCCACTTTGCACTTAAGACATGCAATAAAATATAATAATTTAATATAATATTTAGGTCAAATGTATAAGGTTGCGTAGCTATAGTAAATTACGTTTATATCTAGAGGCTGATAACATTTAAGTTTAAATCTATGTTGCTAAGCTATCTATTACTGACTCTAAAAATTAAATTGAATACTATAAATAATCATTAAAAACATGTTTTTTTGTTAATAATGTGTAATGCATTAAAAAAGTGAGTAAAAAAATCACAAGGTTAAATAAAGCATAATATTTTTCAGCAAACATTCTCTTTGTTTGAAAACAAGTTAACTGTTTGTCATGATGTTATATTATATATTGGCATAACATGAAGTTATTAATCACAGTTTACAAATCGTTATTATCTTTCTTAATGGAAAATAAAAGCAATGAAACACACACAATTGTTGATTGTCAACCTTTCCATTATTATAATAACTATTAGAATTCCTTCACATCTTTCTTGTAGCCTGAATTTAGGGACATTTGCAGTATTGCAAAATAGTACATTCCCATCACTCTGAACCAGCAGTTGGTCATTCAAACCAATACACTATTTTTACCATCATTTTGATAAATGTGCACCACACTAGAAATTTACGTGGTAGAGCCATGCTGCAGCTATATTAGTAGTGTAGTTGTAGTATGAATGGGTCGGCTCGCTCTGGCAAAGACCACGCTCTCACAGAAAACCAGCGTAAAATAGCAGCTTAATGCTGCTGTGTTTCGTATGGTAAGTGTAGAGAACCGGAGACCCTTTTTACTGGCAAAGAGGCATTCCATCTTAGTCCTCACGGGTGACAACGCATCTGCATCTTGAGTCTTTATTGAGGATAGATGTAGATGTCTATGGGCTACAGCAACCACTTACCATCAGGTGGACTGTGTGCTCGTTTGTCACCTTATACTATAAAAAAAAAAATGGATCTCTCTGGCCTGGATAATTTAACTAATTTTATCCACAGTTTTAGATTTGAAAATATTTTGTATAATATTTTATTAAAAATATTGAAAAGCATTTAAAATGATGATTATGCAATTTTACATTTATCAGTTTCTCAAAATTTATTGGAGAAGCTTTTAAGCTAAAGCTATTAACTATTGTTAAGTCTGTTTGATCAAAATCTAAACTTAATAATTTTAATGCTCTAAATAAAGTAAAAATTAAAAAAGCATGATTAACAAATGTAAGAATATTTATTTTTGCATATTTATTGTGTATTATAATATAATGGTTTCTTAAGAGGAACTTAATAAGAGATAGGTGGTAGTTATTTGCTTTACTGCTAAATATTTTTACAAAATATCAATAGTAGCATAATGTATGTGTTGATAAGATGCAAAGGTTCTATCCTTTTTTGACATTCTGTGGACCCCCTCACTAAATAGTTACAAAAGATTTAAATTTTGGTTTGTACAGCAAGCATTTAAAACTAGGTTTGCGATATTACTAAAGTAATTTTTAACTTATAAAAGTTCTTGCAAAATAATTTGCAAATATATTTACATAATGATGAACAAATAACACTGTAGCTATGAAATAGCCTTCTCCGTATACATTAAAACTATTTTGTAACAATGATCTCAATAGGTATTTTATTATTATTATTGTTACAGCCATTTAAAAGTCTACTGCTAAATGTAGAACTCTCCTAAGGAATACCACAAAGCAAGGACCTGACCATCTGCATTGATGGATTTCCTGCATCACTTACCAAATGGTCACTCCGTCTAGTAGAGGGTCGTCCTCCACTTTGCTTACTGGTATGTGACTACTAGTCCAGAAGTGCTTCCCAATTGGTTCTGGGTACTTCGAGCTATGTCTGTCTCATTGCCACTTCATATAGATCTCAATTGATAACTTGGTAACTATTATAATTGTCTCTGTAATATATAAAATAAGCCAAGAGGTAGATAAATGTAGCATTAAAGTGCCTGTTGACATACTGAAATAACTTTTGTCAAAAACATATGTAACATTTATTTAGTAAACTCTAGAAGATGGATGAAAGCATAAATATGTATATCATAACCTGTGATCACAATAAGTAATTATAACACACATATATATATATATATATATATATATAAATATATGTGATAAGAATAGAATAGAATAGAATGATTTTTTATTCAATATGGATTATTACATAATACTTATTGAAAGTCATTATTTTATTTACCACTGGTTCGGAAAATACCTCTGTCCTGGGAAGAACCAGCAAGAAACCCAGCGGGACTTTTTTTTTTAAACATAATTTCACTTAACAATAATTTTGTTTATACAATTTTAAATGAATTTTCATAGAACCAGCATGGTGGCGATCACCTTATTCCCAGGGGTTATTTTCATTCATGTATTCCTTGATATTATAATAACCCTTTTTGTACAGTTTTTCTTTAATAAAACTTTTAAACTTGTTTATTGACAAACTTTGAACATGTTCTGGGATTCTGTTGTAAAAGCGTATACATTGCCCCATAAATGAATTACTAATTCTGTGGAGTCTTGTAAGTGGCATTACAAGCTTATGTTTGTTCCTAGTGTTTAAGGTATGAACATCCTTATTCTTATTAAAGCTATTTATGTTTTTATGTACATACATTACATTTTCATAAATATATTGCGATGCCAAAGTTAATATGTTTATTTCTTTAAATTTTTCTCTAAGGGACTCTTTACAATTTAGATTATAAATCGCCCGTACGGCTCTCTTTTGCAAAACAAATATAGCTTCAATATCAGTCGCATTACCCCATAGCAAAATTCCATAAGACATTACGCTATGAAAGTAACTAAAATACACTAACCTAGCTGTCTCAACATCTGTGAGACTTCTAATCTTTCTTACAGCATATGCTGCAGAACTAAGTCTGCTTGCTAATTTAGATATATGGGGGCCCCATTGAAGTTTCGCGTCAATAGTAATACCGAGAAAAACAGTGGTATCCACAAGACTCAACTCCTCCCCATTTAAGATTATATTATACAGTTGTTTGTTTACCGAATAAAGAGAAAAAAAGAAAGTATATTGGTATAACATGTTGCAGGATGGGCGAGGGCGGGTCGCCAGGCGGCGGCGGCAGTGGCGCGCGGCTGTCGCACACGTCTGAGAAGCACCCGCGCGCCATCCTCGGCGAGCTGTCGGC